GTATGATCTCACTCATATGTGGAATATAAACCAACACATGGACAGAGAAATCTGTACTGTGGTTACCAGGGGCAGTAGGGGTGGGGGGTGAGCACAAGGGGTGAAGGGAGTCATATATATGGTGATGGACAAACAAAAATGTACAACCCAAAATTTCACAATGTTAAAAACCATTAAAACATCAATAAAAAAAATAGACAATGCCTTGAAAAATTGGTTATATAAATTTGTAAATTATTCTTGGATTTTAAATTATACATTCTAATCATTTTAGATAAAATTAATTAAAATTATACATTGAAAATTTTTAGATAACCTTCCAAACAGCTATGGATTACTGAGAACTTTCACAGAGAATAGTCTGTAGATAAAATAAACTCTTAGTTCTGTCTTTATATGTTTTAGTTAATTTTGGAAAATAGAAAATTAAGTGAATGTAAATCTTAGCAAGAGATGTAGCATGAAGTACTTAGCAGAAAATGGAGGAACTGATATGCTTTAATTATATTGATGACATGTGCCAGAAATTTTATGAAATAGCTCCCTTTATTTTTTAAAATAATCCCATTTTACAGTTATTATTATACTATACCAAATATGAAAAAAATTGAGAATCATAAAGTTTTACAAATGCACAGAACTAATAAATGGATAATCCAAGATTTGAATGCATTTGTAAATGACAACAAAATTCTCTTTTCATGTTTTCAGTGCTTCTCAGCTCAAATATCACATGGGGAAAGAAAATCTATCGTCTAAGTCCTTCTTAATAATTAGTTGGTTCTGCTCCTAACAGGTGCTAATAATGATAGCATCCTATCAAGAGCACTATTTCTCTGACCAAATTTTGGGTGAGTTTGGGGAAGGTTACTTACCCATATGTAGACTGTATTTGCCAAAACTATGATATGAAAAGGTTGATGTTGTGATCTATAGGGACCCTGTATATATCAAACATATATATATATTTGATATATTTGAAAAAACAAATTTCCCAAGGAGCTGCTATATAGTGATTTAATGTGCCACAACCGTGAACAGAATATCGAATGGTTATTTAAAAAAACAAAGACGTACTCTTATAGAAATACAAGGAACATGTCTTGGCCATGGACATCTAGAACATACAGAAATAAGTCCCATTTCCAGCATGTAAGAACTTGGGATTTATCTTGAGAAAAAACTTTAGACAGATTGGATTTAAAAATCATCATTGAAAATAGCTCTATTTTATTCCATATAGTAACTATGTTCATAAATGGTCATCAAGATTTAGAGTACCACAAATATTTAATTGCTTCTTCTGTCACACTTGCCATTTAAGATGCACATTAAAATTAGGTAGAATAAATCAGCAACACGGACAGCAGCAATCTTTCTTAACAGAAGATTGGCTTAAATAAGCCTACCACCGACATCCCATCTGTTCTGCATCTCTTCTTAGATCAAGACACAATAGACTGGAGCATATGGACTGTAGGTTGTGAACAAGAAAGGATTTTTAACATGTTAGCTTTCTTTTTTGGGTTTCTGTTTTGTTTTGCTTTTAGGTTGTTGTGATTTGTTTTGTTTTTCAACAATGTATGTTTTTATTCCTCTGAGGGTAATTTAAAAATCATCCTGATTGCAGGAATAATGAAACCACATACCTTTTAAAGGATATTTGGTTTCCTAATTTGAGATTGGGCAGCAAATGATAGATGTAGCTAAAAATTTCAAGAACATTTTCCCTGCCCCCAGACTTAAACTTACAGAGCTAAGTTTAATATATTGACAACCACTGCCACTGGAACAAAAGTGGTGCTCATTGTTTTGTGTGCCTTTACCTATTCCCCTTGCCTCCTGAACGTTTGTAGGTTCAAGTGCACAGATGATCTCTTATATGGCCATACTGTATTGTCTGGCATGCAATAAAATAGTAGTAATAATGAAGATATTGTCTAATATTAATCCTATGTTGACTATGTGTCACATGTTATTCTAACATATTATTATTATAACATATTATCTAATTATTATTATAAAGATTCCCATTTTATTAATGATGAGTGGGAAGAACGATAGACCATAACTCTGAACATGAAAATTGAAAGATACGCTAAAGTACTAAAACAAAACATGTCAATCTCATGTCAAAATAGTTTAAGGTCAAAATGGAACGTTTGGACAATTTGAATAATGAAATTTTGAACCTCAATATCAAGAAATATATGTTGTTAAGTTTTTATTATCATTTGTAAAATTGTATTCTGATTTCAAATCAAGAATGCCCTCATGCTTGTCTTGATATTTACATATCACGCTTCTTTCTGTTCCTTATGGAGCTAGACATTTGTATCCAAATGAAGCAACTTACTTTATAGATCTATATAAAAAGAATGACTAAGATAAGATTCATCACTGTGCTGTTTTAGTCTGTCCAGTCAGGAAAAATCAGCATTTTGATTACTGAATTGTTCCCTTCTCATCATTTTTTACCACCATCAGACACAAATGACTGCTTCTAAAGTGTTCTTGTCAGTGTTTCCCATCACTTCTGATGTAAATCTAGCCATGACACTTCCTTGTTACTTTGTATGTCTGCTTACCTGAACAGCTTTCACAAAGTTGGTTCCGCCTATCAGTCAAATAGAACAAGAGAAAGACAAATTTCTGGAGACCCAGGACAGAAGAAGCGAGACAGTGAAAAAGTGAAAAAGACATGCAACATCAAATTCAAAAGATGTGGAAAGTTTTCTTGTTTGGAACATCAATTCCCGTCTGTCAGATTTAAACTAGTGCTTCTGCCTACAACACCTAACATGTGCGAGGACAGCCCATACGATGGAAAAGGGAATAGTGTTAAAGCATGGTAATTTATAGCACTATAAAGAGTTTGAAAACCAAAAAAGTCTCAAACCTCATACTGACTGGACTTAGAGTTCAGCTATCTCACTTTTTAGTTTTGCTGCTAGGAAACAGTTGTTTTAACATCTGTGCCTTCGTTTCTGCCTCTGAGAACTGAGAATGATAATTATATGTGCCACATAAAATTTGCCATGTAGATTAAATTATTCAATACAGGCAGAATACTTAAAACATTTTCAATTTTTTTGTAAATGCTTTATAAAATTCACTTATTAGCATCATTCCTTTTTTTTTTTTTTTTTTTTTTTAGGGAGATTGTCCCTGAGCTAACATCCGTACCAGTCTTCCTCCATTTTGTGTGTGGGATGCTACCACAGTGTGTTTGATGAGCAGTGCATGGGTCCATGCCAGGGATCCAAAACTGCAAACACCCTGGGCCACCAAAGCAGAGCGTGCAAACTCAACCACTATGCCACCAGACCAGCCCCGCAACATTACTATTCTTTAAATAAGTTCAGTTCAGTAATATTTTTGGAAGAAATGTCAAGTCATGAGAAGTGATAAGAACTCAATAATGAAGTGGAGTGTTTGAGTACAAGAAATCCTGTGTTTAAATTCAAAATTTTTAACCCTATGTAATTTAGAAAATTTATTGTGCTTCACTTAGATTTAGAATTAGCATGAATTAAAGATTTCACTTTGACTAGAATTTACATAAATTGCGACTAAAATTTTTAAATAAAACGTTATTATAGTAACACTATCACCAATTTGTGCACTGAAAGATTTAACATATAAAAGAGAATTTTTATACAATTATTTATGCCTTAACAACTGCAAAAATTTGACTTAGAATTTAAGTAGGATGCTTCTCTATTAGTAAGATTTAAAATAACTAAAAGACATATCAGTTATCTAAAATATCTCCTCTGTGGCCTGCCATAGTTTCTTATATTCTTGCATATCCTATTTCTGTTGGTTTATACAATGAAAGTCTGCATGAACATAATTACAAAGAGATCATAAACAAATGGTAAAATATGAATATACTAGTAAATGTTATTTAAGGGGGAGGGTAAGAGAGTGTCTTTGCAAAGTCCTACATTACCAGAACCTGGATATTTTTTAAAGTTATTTTTCTGATTATACAAACACATGAAATGTTAATATTGTTTAAAAATATGAATTAAAAGACAGTAAGGGAAAAAAAATCAGATCAATATAAGATACCAGAGAAAGAGCTAATATCCTTGATCGGCAACATAACATTAAACCTGACTATGCAGCTTCAAAGAAATATATTTATCAATAATAATATACCATTTCCTATAATTATCTTAGCTCGAGTATAAGACATGAAACAAGCAAGCTTATGCTCTGCTGATGAGAAAGAAATTTAACTAGACCTCTCCAAACTGATTTGGCAAAATTCTTTCAAAATCTTAGCAATAAGCATAACTTTGAATCATATAATCTTTACCTCTTGATAAATCTTTAAAATAATTATAGATATGAATGATGATTTATGCCAAAAAATGTCTATTGCATTCTAATAAATAGTATCAAAACTGAATGTTTTAAGCACTGAGAAAAGTCTTTTCAATATCTGTTATTTTTTTTCTTGAGTATTAGGGAACTCGGAAAAGAATAAAGGAGAAAATATAAACTATCAAAGCCTCTCTTCTTCAGAGCTAAATATTTGAGTCCATTCCATTTTCATTTATATTTATTCTTTTAAAGTCTTTTTAAAACTTTTTTACCTTTTTTGAGATATAATAGATATACAAAGAATCTGCATGTATTTAACGTGTACGATTTGATGAGTTTGGATTTGAATAGACATTTCTCCAAAGAAGGCATACAAATGGCCAACAGATATATAAAAAGATGCCCAACATCACTAATCATCAGGGAAATGTAAGTCAAAACCACAATGAGATATCACCCCACACCTGTTAGAACGGTTACCCTCAAAGAAAAGATAATTGATGGTGAGGATGTGGAGAAATTGAGACCCTTGTATAGTGTTGATGGGAATGTAAAATGGTGCAGCCACTATAAGTAACCAATATGGAGGTTAGTAAAACAATTAAAAGTAGAACTACCATGTGATCCAGCAATCTCACTCCTGAGTATATATCCCAAAGAATTGAAACCAAGATCTTGAAGAGATACCTGTGATCTCATGTTTATTGCAGCATTATTCATAACAGCCAAGATACAGAAACAACATAAATGTCCATGTCCATTAAGAGATGAATAGATAAATAAAATGTGAGACATACATAAAATGGAATATTATTCAGTCTTAAAAAAGAAGGAAAACTTAACATTTGCAACAATAAGGACGGACCTGGAAGACAATGTGCTAAGTGAAATGTCTGCCCCAGAAAGACAAATACTGTATGATTCCACTTATATGAGGAATCTAAAGTAGCCAAACTTATAGAAGCAGGAAACAGAATGATGGTTACCAAGAGACAGGAGGTAGAGAAATGGGGATTTTTTGGTCAATAGGTATACACTTACAGTTGTGCAAGATGAATAAGCTCTAGAGATCAGCTGTAAAACACAGACCCTATAGTTACCAATATGATGTTGTGCACTTAAAAATTTGTTAAAAGAGAATATTTTATAAAATATATATATTTTATTTTCTATTTTCTATTCTTTTTGGGGAGGGAGTATGCTCCATTATTATGATTTCAAAGTTGAAGGCCAGATAGGGCTAATTTTTGCCACTTAAAAACTTTGTCATTTCTGTTGGGGAATTTATTTAATCTCTGAAAGGCTAACAACAATGAAGATTCTAATAGCACCCATATCAATGGACTCTTTGAGGATTAAATTTCGTAATTCAAGGAAAGTGCTTAGATCACATCTGATTTAAGACCATTTCTCAGTTACTGATGTAGTAGCTCTAACATTAAAAAACATTTTTCCTTTTTGCTTTTTCAAAGAGAAGGAACATTATCTAATCAAAATATGGCCTCCTTCTGACTGAAGGAGAATTAGAATTGATTTCTTAAGAATGTAAAAGAAGAAGAGAGAGTTAATATTAGGGTTTTGACATCAAAATGGGACATTGCCTCAAGTTAATAAAGGCAAAGCATTGGCAAAAGAAAATATTTTTTCAATGCCTTTATTTCCTCTTTTATGACATCAAAAACAGGCCTTAAGACTTGTTCATTGAATTTTATATAAAGAAAGATATAATCAGACAGGAAGAGAAAGGAAGCAATTCCTGCCCATTCTAGTCTGAATTTTTGAACAGGAAAATGTTAAAGGCAAATGTCTTTGGTTCTGCTTTCAGTATGAAACTCTGGACAGAGAGTTCATTCCCACATGTATGTGGCTAGCCAAATTCATACTGAACGCAGAAGAATAAAACCACAATGTGCCAGTGGTCATTGCTCAGCTCCAGGAACACCAGAGATGAACTACTGCCTAGCAATGGAGGGCACTGCTCTACCCAAACACCCTGTGCCCTTCGTTCTCACTTAGCATGAAAGACATACAACCTCCTCTTCTATGTCCAGACACCATCTTAAAGAGGACCAATAGACAGGGTGAAATCTGAAAGACTGAGCATTTTATTTATAGACTGGAGACGTGGGGGAGTGTAGAAAATACAGCCCTCTGTTCAACTATCCAGATAGTATGGTTTACACAAGGAGGATGAGAACAAATTTAGGATAATAAGAATGCATCAAGGAGTATAGTATGATTAATATGCAATTTTCTCATAGGAGTTGTTGTTATTTTTAGAGTGTGTGTGTGTATAATATTTTTTCCTTTTTATTTGACTCTATGTCCTATCTACTTTCCCCCATGCTTTTAAAGACTTCCTGCTAAGTATCCCAATGATATGTATGAAACATAATCAGTATTTCCAATATTCTATTCTTGAACTTTTAGATCCTTTTCATGATAATTTTCTGTTAAAAATAATATTTTAAGTGGATATCTTTGTACTTTATTTATGGATGAGATTATTTTCTCAGTAGACAGACTAAAAATAATTTCAGGTAGAGGGTATGAATATTTTAAAAAACTTTGATACACATTTGCAAGTTATTTTTTCCAGAGAGTTCTTCTAATTTATATTCTACTTACATTATTGCAAGCAACAATTAACTTTGATATAAGGAATGTCATCAGAAATATACATAGCCTATAATGCAGCCCTGTTGAATAAACAATTGTGAAAAATTTTCCATATTAAGGTTTCCTGAGCAATTAAAACAGCATTATATTATGGACATTAGGAACTAGAGAAATGAAAAGTGGATAGAGAAGCACCAAAAGTATCCCATTTAATTTCACAAGCTTTTCTAAAGGCTAGAACATAGCCTTTCCTACAGCTAGGACACAAATAAAAGACTAGATTTGTCTGTCAACTGTGTATTCCAAGCATCCTTCTTCATTCTTTTGCACATAGATCTTCTTGTGAAGAAGTCTCCCTATTAAATTATAAATCATCATGTGCTTTGAAATAAAAATTCTGAATTCAAAGACAAGCATCCAAAATACAAATGAACATAAAATTTTCACCACTGAGAAAATACAACTCTGGAGGCTGGCCCCCTGGCTAAGTGGTTGAAGTTCTGTGTGCTCCGCTTTGGTGACCCAGGTTTGCGGCTTCAGATCCTGGGTGCGACATACATCACTCTTCAGCCACACTGTAGCAGCGACCCACATATAAAGTAGAGGAAGATTGGAACAGAGGTTAGCTCAGGGCTAATATTCCCTCAGTAAAAAATAAAAAAAAGGAAAGGGAAGGGAATGGAAGGGAAGGGAAAGGAAAGGAAAGGCAACTCTACCTGGATTTTGCATCCTCCAAAATCTAGTCCCACTACTTTTTTCCAGTCTCATTTCTTAGAACTACCTAACTCACACTTTACTTCAGCCCACAATGACCTTCAGTGCTCAGTCATTCTCATTCAGTTGTTACTCAAGCTGATTCCCCTTTCTCAGTCTAGACTTATAGGACCACTCAGGTCTCATGTTTTCCATGAAATATTCGGTTAATACTGTTCAAATCTAATTTATCTTAAAATAACTCTTACCAAATAATATTTTCAAGTTATTATTTGTAAATCTTAAGAGTAATGCAAAATTATCAAATGCTCAGGCCATACTTACTTTTCTTTATCTGTCTATCCATCCATCCATCCATCTACACATAGGAATTTAACATTTTTCAGAATCATTATAGAACAGTATCAACTTACTCTTAAGAAAAATATTTTACTTGTGATATCTAGCACATCCATTTCTATTTAAGAAGTGGAAATTAGTACATGCTGAAGACGTAAGTTGTGGGAGTGTGATTGAATTTAGTTTTTAATTGGCTTATACATAAAATTATATTTATTTTCTCTCTGTGATTACTATAAGTCTTCTAAAAGCTCAATAGCCTTTTAAAGTAATTATTAATACCTTGGCATTGTTTTACTCAGTCTACTTGCTTTTGTTATAGAGTTCAATAACTGTTGACTTGACAAACTACAATGAGAGGTGTTTGCCTAGGGCACAGTGTTTTCTAACAGAAATAATATACCAAAAAATATAGACGCCTTACTTCTGAATCAGTGATGAGCAGCAGGTTGTGAGACAGTGGCTTTTAGTTTTGGCAAAGAATGAATTTGATTTACTGAATCTGAAGCTGGACTGACATGGTATGTTTGAAATATTTGTTCTTTTCCATAATTGCAATAACTCGGGAGCAAGTTATAACTGTTTGCATTGTTTGATTGAAGTAAAATTACACATAAAGAAAGTGGGAACAAAGACTACAAATCAAACCAATGGTAGCTAAAATATTCCCGGGAATGGGAATAATCTAATATTACTCTGATGAAGCCATTTTCCCTCATAATTTCATATAATTGATTCTTTCTTTTGGAGTTTTGCTGCCGTTTTCCTCCTGTTGTAGGAAAGGCTTTCTGGTGCCAAGGAACAGATCTCCTCACAAACATGTTGTCTGAACCAAACGACGTGAAGGGAGGTTATTATAAAGATAAAAGATGATCTCAGAGTACTCAATAAGTTTTGAATGCCTGAGTGGCTCATAAGGAGGGAGAAGGGTGACTAAAAATGGATTGTTTAAGATGGTGCATTCAGAGTATGGTACCTACAAGATAATCAAACTTTTATGCTATTTAATCCTCAATCCTTCGTGGCGTCTTCCATGTAATATTCTGCCAAAAATGTCTCTTCTTTTTATATTCCAGGACTAATTTGCCAAATCTCAGGAAGAAGATAGAGGGAGATAGAGGAAAAAATATTCTGCCATGCCTCATGAATTCAAATCCTTGTCAATAAACATTTCTTAGACATAGCTATGAGTAAGGCATTGTTCCAGCAGATATCAGTATTCAAAAGATGTGTGAGGCATGGTTCCTGCCTCTAAAGAATTAACAGGGTTATAAATGATATTGACATATAAGTTTAAGTCAGCTGGAATGTCTGTAGGAGAAGGAAGGGAATTAACAACTATGGACATAGGAAGAGTTTGTATAAAAAATGACATTTGAGATAGTCTTTAAAGGAAGGGAAGGGTTTGAAGTATCTGGAGTAGGTGGCTTAGTGTAATAGTTAAACAGATACAAAGTGAGCAACAGTGTGGAGGAAAGAAAGCTGCTGACCATACATAAGTAATTCTCTGTGGCTGAATGGGAGGTTTGTGTGACTTTAGCTTGTGTACTGGCACATAACTCGAAGATGTATATAGTGTGAGGCAGGACATTTTTACTAATTGAATCTTATTTTTCTCCTCTGTTTTTGTAATTCTTATATTTGAGAGTTCAGATCTATCATAAGACTAACATCCTATGTCTAAGTTTGGTATTGAATTCCCTTGGTACTTTAAAGCAAAGTGTGCTTTTCAGTTTTCACAAATTGTGGAGCCAGAATATTTTAAATCTGAGCTTAAACTATAATTTGTTGATGCTTGAATACTAATTTCACTCATGAATAAATGTATGCATCTTCAAATCAATTTGTAATCTTCAAATATACCCAGCAAATAAGATTTTATTTTTTAACTTTTGTACTGGATTACAAAACACTGAGGTTCAGAATTCATCTAGATTTCTAATTCACTAATGAAATCAAGAGGGGGAGAGAGAGCGAGTGCGAGCAGTGGAGAGAAAGAAGGAAAGAGAGAGATCGGAAATCTTGATTGTTCAGTATTGTTCAGGACCTGCAGAAGTGGAATGTGGTAACAAGATTTTAACTTTACATAACAAATATTGGCTCAGATTGTAATATGAGTATAAAATTATAGGAATCAAATTGATATATTATGTAATAAATGTTCTTACCAAATGCCATTGGAATCTCATCTCCCAACACTAAACATTTAGCTGTATTAATTATATTTCACTGAGTTCTGAGAAAAGAATTTTTATTCAGAAAGATCTGAAATCCAAGCTCTCTGAGCCTCACATTTCTTATTTGTAAATAGAGGTAAGGGTGTGTACCACATGTTCCGTGGTACAACGAAGCACCACTTTCCTGGCATGTGAGTATCCAGTAAATGGTTACAATTATCAGAATATAAACTTTTACAGTAAGTCTTGGTTATTTGATGTTTATCTGATTTATCTAATAAGGGGTACAGAGAATTGAGCATTCCTTACACACCAATTTGGATTAACGCTAATTCATACACCAGAGTCAACCTGTGCCCTGGAGATCACTGACCTACTTTTGGTAACTTTCATTTCTTAGTCCTCATAGAGCATAGTCAGTTGAATAAGGAGAGTTTGCCTTACTCTGTCTTGCTCTGAAGCTTAATAATAAATTTATCTCCCTCTGTAGGCCCCATATTTCCTAAGCATTGATCATACATATTTACTTGGAATACACCAAACAAGGTAGGAGCTTTCACAGATCCAAGGCTTTGCTTGCTCTGTTCCTTCAGGGTAAAATCCCCTCCCCCTTCCCTGCTCCCACCCAGCTCCCACGGGCTTGTTCTCTATCTCACGAAATCCTGCCAGCCACAAAACAAATGCCACTTTCTTCCAAAACGGTTTCCTGTGCTTCCAAATCTGAATTACTCACTTTTCAGATGACTCAAAACCATATAATGATAGTAGTGTATCAGAATGTCGGGTTAAAGCAGAAATAAAACAGTTTTCTTTGGTGATGAGAGACATGGCAACTTAAAAGTTTACAGGCACATGTGTCTGGAATAGTGGTTCTCAACCAGCAGTAATTTTGTCCCGCAGGGGAAGGTTGACAATGTCTGAAGACATTTTGCTCATCATCCTTGAAGGGGAAAGGGTACTACTGGCATCTGGTGGGTGGAGGCCAGAGATGCTGCTAAACATCCTACAATTCACAGCAAAGAATTATCCTGTCACAGTGTCAATAGTGCTGAGTTTGAGAGTCCCTGGTCTGGAGCAGGATATCAAGACTTCATCCCCCTTCCTCAGTGATCAAAACTGAGTGTAAAAGTGCTCTGTGGGAACAGCTGTGGCTCTTTCTCATCACAGCTGACCACAGGGAAGGCAAAGGAGTGTGCGACAGCCCCTGTTTTCACAGGGGGAGTGTAGCAGCCACAGTAGAGACAAGGCTCTGCTGGTGAACATTGCCTGGTCTCCTCTTCCGAGGCTGTTGTGTTGGGCAGCTTCCAGGGACTTGGACATATTATAGGAAAGGGATACTCAAGACCATAGCAATTTATGGCTGTGATTCTAAAACTTACATTTTTTTAAAAAATGTGATTTTTTGGTGACATGGTAATGAAGCTGGATGTTTTGGTTGTAACAATAACTGCTTCTGAGTAGCCACTATTTGTCAGGAATTTTATATATGCTATTTAACCTTCATAAGAACTCTGTGAGGTAGGCATTATTATCTGCATTTTACAAAACTGTTTATCTTTGTTATAATTATACTTAGTTTTTTTTTTCTTTCTTTGTTGTTGAATAAACTGGTAGTTAGCTGTTCCTAAGAAAATGTTACTTGTGGGCCAGCCCTGGTGGCCTAGTGATTGAGTTTGGCACACTCTGCTTCAGCGGTCCAGCTTCGGTTCCCAGGCACGGACCTACACCACTTGTCTGTCAGTGGCCATGCCATGGTGGCAGCTCACATTAAAAAAAAAAGAGGACGATTGGCAACAGATGTTAGCTCAGGAAATCTTCCTCAGCAAAAAAAAGAAAAAGTTGAAAAAAAAAGAAAATGTTATTTGTATGTAAATCCCTGTGCTTTGCACAGTGATTGGTAATAATGATAATAATAATAATAGATTGAAGATGGTGATGATGATGATAATTAACCTTACTTTGTGCCTTTCCATGCTTAAAGTGCATTAAATTCTCTGTGCAACATTATTTTTTATTCTAATTGCCTCACCTCTATTAACTCAATTTAGTTTTCCCATACTACTATGGGAGAGCTATTTAAAGATTAAAATAATGATTTTAAAAAGCACACAGAAATATGTCCTCAGTTCCCCAGTTTCTAACATGGCGGGGCTCAGTAAGCAGTAAGCAGTCTGAGTCAGATCCTCTCATTGGAGTCACTCTACAATAGAGAAGATGATCTATACTTATTTATCAGTATTGATTAAATAAATCATATAATCTCCTGCTTGGAGAACATTCAATAAAAGATGCATGGAGCATGCAGTGATGCAGTTACACCTGAGGACGACTGGCTGGCTGCCCAGAAAGGTCTCCCCAACAAGCCCTAACTTAATCCTTTAACTTCAGTCCAGAGTTCATATCAGGCTAAGGCAGGCTAATTTATAAACATCAAGGGGCTCTATTTCTCTGATATAGTCAAAGATTAATCAAGATTGATATAATTAGCCAGAATAATAATTCAATTAGCTTACAGTGAGAAATAAAATAGGAAAGGGAATCCAACGCACAATCTCTTCCTGCAGGAACAGAGTAGAAAATGCCAAACTTCATAGTTGAAAATTTCTTGGTGACCATAAAATTAAATTGAGTGTTAATAACAGGAATTCAATATTTAATGTTATGATATTAAATAAGCCTCAGAGATAGATCATCACAATATGTTACGATCAAATTTCATGGCAGGAGATCTATTCTGTGTGTAAGGTAATTTGTAAGGTAATTCCATTCTGTTACATTTGTGTTACAATTAAATTTCATCACGGAAGACTCCCTAATTTTATGTATTTTCAAGTTATTACTGTAACTGTTATTGTGGGGGAAGGGTTTGGTTGAAGAAGAAGGCCTTACTGCAGCTGTTATTTGTGACAGATGCTTATATTTGATTTTAAAATTTTGAATTCTCAAAATTCTTATTATAATTGTTATTTATTTCATAAATAGTACTGTACTTAAATGCCATGGTCATTTACAATTTAAGAATTTAAGCCATAGAGCTAAGGACAGCATTTGTATAGAAGAGGACAAACAGAATACTGGGGTTTACTTAATATGATGTTATTAACCTATATAAATGATCAATACATGGTATTTTAATTAATTAATTTCCACAAAGCTTTCCCGTTTGTAGACAGAAATCTCACTTCAACTTTCAAAGTTATTGTTGCACACAGTTTTAGGTAATTTCATTTACCATTTGTTCATATCAGAAATTATACTTTTGTTTTATAATAACCAAAAGGATGATGATAATGATGATTAAATTTCAGATGTTGCTTTTTAAAACTTCACAATCTTCATTAATTCGTTCCATATGACACTATGACTTAAGTTATTGGCCCCATTTCCCACATGGGAAACCTGTGTTATCTAAGATTGATGATGTTCCCAAGATGAGTGAACTATCTAAGAGAGAGAGTCAGAACACGGATTTAGGTTTTCTAACTCTAAAGCCTACCAAATTTCCAGTTTTGTGTTTCCTTTCCTATAATACCTAACAAATATTGCTGTATAGTACATCATATTGTCCTCTAAAATATTTTGTCAGACTGCTTGTTTCCAGAGGTTTTATTAAAATAAACTTTGTATAAGAAGAACTGAATCTATCTTCTGTTTTTATAGTTTGCAAATCTAAATAGATTAAATACTTCAATTGGAATCTATCACCATGTTGAAGAAACTGAAATCACATTATAGACCACAGGAAAAGACAGTTTTGAAATGTCTTATTTTGTGAGAATATACATACATACATTGCTATAGACTCAATGTTTGTTGTTTGTGCCACCCTAAAATTCATATGTTGAAGCCTAATCCCCACTGCGATGGCATTTGGAGGTGGGACTTTGGGAGATGATTAGGCCACGAGGTGGAGCCCTCATTAATGCGATTAGTGCCCTTATGAAAGAAATCCCAGAGAGCTCCCTCCTAGCCTTCCGCCATGGGAGGTCACAGAGGGAAAACTGTAGTCTATG